GTACGTCGTCGCTTCTCTTGGTGGCGGTTGGTGGCTTCATCAAAGGAGGCGGAATCGGATGAAATGATTCGGGATACAGAGGATGGGTTGATTGACTGATTATAGGTGGTTTCAAACCAGATTTTCAGTGCGATATTTGATAGATGTGGCTTGAGTTGATGCTGGGCTCGGAGGGCAGCCTTTTGGCTGTTTAAAATAGGTTGACGGGTTTGCTTTGGCATTGCAGAAGGGAGGGACGAAGTCAAAATAGCCTATTTTGGTTACTCCTATATTAGCAATTTTGTATTGGAGGAGGGGAGAATTTAAGCAACTTGCTAGTAATGGAGTATTAAGCAATTTTATATGGAGTTGTAATTTGGACAGCGTGGCCAGTTGCTTATAATGGAGTATTGCTTATATCGGAGTTGCTTATAACGGGGTTTTACAGTATTGCCTAACGAACGTATGTGCGCATACACAGCTGATTGAGTGCTTGACTGGCTATATGTCTGCACACGGTGGCCTATATACAGAATCTCCGGGCCTCGGTAATCGGGCCTACTTATATCCGATCGATTCTCATCAACATGCGCTGTGGTATCACGTGACACATCATCACAGCTAAGAAATGGAGATTCGATCCCCCTATCCTGCGTTCATTCTTCTACTGTATCTCTCCACATACTGTACAGCGTTCGTTGATGTATGCGTTATATATGGTTCCCATCTTCATACATACAGTATTACAAGTCATAAGAGAACTCTTTTAAAGGATCGGTCAAATACGTGCTAAAACGCTGCGTTTCGTCACAACTGCCTTCATGTCGCCCAAGGATAACCTCCGTTTGCCCTCGCCATCTACGCAAACCACATCAGTTCCATTCAATGACACGGCTTTGAATCGATATTTTACACTCTGGGCAATCAGGCTGCTTAAGTCTACTAGGCCTCGCAAGGGAAGCGTTCTTATGTTGACAGACCGGTTGTGTGTCAAATACGGTTCCCATGTGCATTTATCCGAGGCCTCTACAATGCATTTCATATCGCAGCAAACGTCAATTCCAGTCCCAAGGGTTATATCTGCGTTCACACACTGTGACCAGACCTATATCTTGATGGAGAGAATTAAAGGGGATATGATTGGAGTTGGTTGGGTGCAACGAAATGAGGAATCAAAGGCTAAGCTTCTTTCAAAATTGAAGTCTATGATTCAAGAGATGCGAGAAATCCCGGCGCCAGAGGGCACAGAAATAGCTTCTGTTGATGGCGGATCCATGTTTGACTGCCGATTACCAGGCCATTCCTTGCGTTTAGGTCCCTTTCACAGCATCCAGGATTTCCATCGGCATTTACGAGAAGGTATCGAATTCGATCCTATTCTTGATCCTGAGATTCAGGAGCTCATCAAACAGCAAGGCAAATCATGGCCTTTAAAATTTACTCACGGCGACCTTAGCAGCCTCAATATACTGATTCGTGGGGATGATATTGTTGGAATCATTGATTGGGAAACTTCTGGTTGGTATCCATCGTATTGGGAATACACTACCGCTTACCAAGTCAATCCACAAAATTCTTTTTGGGTCAATGAGATCGATAAATTTCTTCTTCCGATGCCCGAAGAGCTAGCAATGGAACGCACTCGCCAGAAATACTTTGGAGGTATTTGAGGCCACGTGTCTCAAATAATGATCTCCTTCCTCTCAATCAGATCATAGGTTGGAGCTTTGGTCGTGTCAAAGTTTCCCTGGCCATCAAATCGATGCTGATCTTTCTTACTTTGGCAATACGCCATCGCCTCGCTGCGTACCTTTTCCCACTCAATAACATTCGTGCCCAGGGCCTTGCCGTCGGCCGTCAGGGTCTCGAGCGCCTCTTTTACCCAGAATACACAGTTCCATCCTGCTTGGCCTTGCCTAATAGGTGTACTGCGCAGTATTTCTACCAGTCGATTGCCATCCTCTACCTTTCCGAGTATGACTCGAACAAGCAGCATGCTGGTGGCGAGAAGCGGGCATTCACGCTCCTCGAATACCCATTCGACTACCCCCGGGGCTTTAAGCTTCTCTCTTGCGTGGTACCGGACCCCCATTTTACCTTCCGCTTCAATTTTCGGTCCCACAATCAACGCCCAGTGGTAGCTAGATGGATAATGTCAGATCTATGTGTGCCAAAGGAGTGGTTACACAGTGAACTTACGTGTCTTCCTTGCCCGGCATGGTAGGAGCGCCTCCTCGCGCATAGAGGGCAACGTGTAGGCGATCTTTGTTAGAAGGCATTTGTGTGCGGCCACTGGAGTAGATATTATTGACAGGTATGGTTTTGTGTTTTGATGGGTTCTTTGCGAATGTATTGATCTTTGAAATGAGTGAGCTTACAACATTTTTAAAGCAGTTTATATACTCCTTCCTTAGCCTACACTTATGATCTTGCACAATAGCCGCTGTCTGATGTAATGTGATGTGATTGTGACGGGCTGGTCACGTGTATACCTCTCACGTGCTGGAAGCAAGGGATATAAGTCTCGTCAACGCTGATGGCACATCATTCTTCTTCTTCTTTCCTCATGTTGATTATTCTCGTCGATAGCTACCTAGGTAGAGCACATGAGTTGATCTTCCATTATCCTGGCTGAGCTCCGTGACAGTGATAGAAGCTGCAGGTCCCTTGCAGTCAGCGCCTACCTCTAAATAAAGAACAAGCCAATTTGGTGCGCACTACAGAGTACTCTGTAGGAACAGCCGCCATAAGTTTGGGAATGTCAAGCTGATTTAGCCGTCCACTGTACTTCTGCTATAAAATGCGCCCAAATGGTATTGCAATACATCCAACTGGTCCTTTGATTTTATGTACTGCTATTATCATCCTAAGTAGAACGCATTGAAACACACACGGAGAGACATGCACACACAAGCATGGCATGAATCAACCAAATCCATGCGTATTCTAATAAGACAGCACACCATCCAATCTCCCAAATTTCGCCTATCTGCCACTATTCTTAGCCCAGTCTGGGAATTCGTAGTCGATCTCACGACAGCTGGAAAACGCCGCCGATTGTTCGTAGTGCCAGGCATCGATTGCCAATTCCCACATGTGGTCAGCCGGGTTGATCTTGGGAGGCACGCGGATCAAGTCGATGAGGTACCTTGAAGATGATTGGGTTAGCATTGGAATGGGGATGAGGAAAGGGAGGAGGTAAGTACTCACAGTTTGTCGTCTTCGGTGTCATAGCATAGGCAGTTGGGATTTTCTTGTACGTCCAGATGGATGCCGATGCTTCGTAGGTGGCTATGCATAGTAGATAGATATGTTAGCATATGCTAATAACACGAAATGCTGGTATCGGAATATAGTGACATACTTGATAGCGAATTCTATTTGCTCATGGATCCTCTCAATCTGCTCGTCCGAGAGCATCCTATCCACAGGCTCTCCAGGTACCCTGGACGTGACCAGAAGACTGACCCATCCCTCAGAATAAGGGAAAAGCGGACCGCGTCGAAAGTGACATGGCCGATATACTCAGGTTCATGGCCAACCTCCTGGAGAGCAAGTACAGTCTTGACCTCGTCATAGAATTCTTTATCAGCTGCCTTTCGAAGATAGCCAGATTCGTTCATGTTGAATACTCCTGGGTCCACACTAGATGATGTATGTATTCCTCCGCCTATAATCATATATGACGTCTCCATTCTCGCCCCTGGAGGAAGCCTAATTAGAGAAATATAAAAAAAAAAAAAGACGAGAACTCAGCATGTCCTGAACATACCCCACGTCCTACAGTACAACATGCCCAACTGGTCCTTCGACTTCACCGAAAGCATCCTTAACGTCAACGACAGACGTTTGAAAGTCGAGGAACTGCTGAGCGAATACGCAAACTCTGATCTGAACGAGCGCTATGCAGTAGTTAACGACCTGGATGTTGATACCAACAGACCAGGCTTCATTAGATTCCGTTACGAGTGAGTAGCTCCCTCAAAACAATCTGCTATCATTCGCTAATTGTGGATTCAACTTGTCTATAATCCAGCCTCTATCTAGAGGGCCCTAGTGCCAGGGAACGGTCATTCCTGGATTAACCTCCTCGTTCTCCTCGTCCTTCTCCTCTTCGCACACCTCCTCCTCCGCCTTCTCCGCCGTCTTCGTCCTCTGGTTTGTCGCCTTCGTTTTCTAATCTGGCTCTTTCGCCTTCTTCTCTTGCTTATTAGTCTCCTCCCTCTTCTCCCTCTTCTCCATCCCCTAGTTACTGGCGTGGATGAGTATAATCCTATAAATAAATGATGACCAACAGCATCATTTGCTTCAGACACTACATAGCATATATGATTATGGTCTGCTGGAATTTGATGGGATACTATCAATGCAGATCATTTCTGCAGGTGTTCAAGTAAGGTTTGAGATCTGGAAAAATAGATACCATTCACTGCGGGGAGTCTCATCGTGATGATCAGTAGTGGTTGTTTGACATAGACCCAGATAATATATTATACCACCATCGTGGCGGAGTGATACACTGGGTTCTGTTCCGATGAGGGATTTATCCGATCCAATCCTCCGTTAATCCTATGAGTCTATTTTAACCTGACATAAAGCAACCGTTACCCCAACTTAAAGCTAACCTCAATCTAATTCGCCAAAAATACCTCCTACCACTACATCTCATAAATCCCATCATGTATGCCCCCCTCCCCATCTTCAATCTCAAACCGACGCACTATACCTCATTATGCCCCTCTGGCAAAGGGGACACGGACATACATTCATAACAGCCCATTACACCTATATTCTCACCTGGATTATTCTAGCATCCATCTTACTTTATTTCCAGGGAGGAATAACTTACACAGATGCCCTCCTCCTCGCCTCGGGGGCCGCCACGCAGAGCGGACAGAACCCGGTTGACCTGAACAGGTTGGGTGTCTGCCAGCAGGTGATATTATGGATGGTGGCGATGGTCACGAATGTGATTTTCGTAAATTCGTTGGTTGTGTTGGTGCGGTTGTCGTGGTTTCGGAGGAGATTGAAAACTGTGGCCGGGGAGGTCAAGGCTGTTGTTCGGGGGGATGCGTATAGGGATAGAGGATATGGGACGATGACAAGGAGTACTACTCCAGACGGAAGGAATGCGATACAAGAGATGAATGCGCAGGATCTATATGGTGATGAAAGCGAACCCCAACCTATCAATCATATCGCCGCCAGTTCTACAGGACCGCGTATCACCTTTGACGTCGCGGCGTCTCAGCGACAGCAGCTGCATCAGAAAGCCATTTCTTCTCTGCCGCCGTTTATGTGGCATCCATCCATCGCCAGTTACTCAGACTGGGATGAGACGCAGAAGGATGAACTTGGTGGGACTGAGTATCGGGCTTTGAAGACGTTATTCTTCATCCTGCTCGGATACTTTGTTACCTTTCACGTTCTTGGGGCTGTTTCGCTATTATGTGTGATCCTGTATCATCCCGAATATGGCCATGTCGTTGATGAAATTGGAGCCCCCAAAGCCTGGTGGGCGATTTTCACGGCGAGTTCCGCGTTTAACGATGTGGGCTTCACTTTGACACCGAACTCGATGGCGTCGTTTAATAAAGTCCCACTACTTCTTCTGGTTATGACCTTTCTAATCGTTATCGGGAATACGGGGTTTCCGTGTATGTTGCGGTTGATCATTTGGATGTTTGGGAAGGTCACCGAGGAGACGAGTCGACGTCGCGAGGAGTTGGAGTTTCTTTTGAGACATCCTCGACGATGCTTTACACTTCTGTTTCCTGGTCCGGATACATGGCGACTGCTGGGGGTGTTGTTGGTGCTGAACGCCGTTGATCTAGCCATCTTCCTCCTGGATGTAAGTCCCTGATACCAATGGTATCATGACCATGACTGACCCCACCAGAAGCAACCATCCTACAACCTCCACAACGACAAGGGCTACACCTGGCTCATAAACGGGCTATTCCAGGTCGCGTCTACGCGAACAGCAGGATTTACGATAACCTCACTCGCAGATCTCCATCCAGCAGTACAGATCTCCTTTGTCGTCATGATGTACATCTCCGCCTTTCCCACGACAATCGCCATGCGCAAGACCAATGTCTATGAGGAGAAGAGCCTGGCTATATACTCAGATGCGGAATCTATCTTGACCGATAACGACCAAGGAACGCAAACTAGACGAAACGACCTCTGGTATCATATCCAGAAACAGTTGAGTTTTGATCTGTGGTATATCGTCCTAGGGACGTTCCTGATTGCGCTCGCTGAAAGCGACCGTTTTCCTTTATTTTCGGTTCTGTTTGAGGTAGTCTCCGCATACGGCACGGTGGGCTTATCACTGGGATACGCATGGACGGAGTCGAGTTTGTGTTCGCAGTTCCGGGATGTCTCGAAGCTGGTGATTTTGGCTATGCAGGTCCGTGGCAGACATCGTGGACTGCCGTATGCGCTGGATCATGCTGTTATGTTGCCGTATGAATTGCACCAGGACGAGAGCGAGGATGAGAACGAGGAGGGGAATGGGTTCGGATGGAGGAGATGGATTCGTCGACGGAGGTCAGATCTGAGTAGTCTTTTGTCAGTTACAGATACAGAAGAGAATGAACCAGAGCCGCTTCTGGGTTGACATAATGCTATTGTTTCGGTCATTGATGGATTTGGAAACATGCCGAGGTACATCCCAACAGGGTAATATCAGTCGACAACCAGGGAACGGCGACCATCATCCGTCGTTCCGACTTTCCGTGAACCTGATAGAACTTATGAATATTAAACCAGACTTGATTGCCGTCGACCAAGCATAACAAACAGCCGAGGCATCAAGTGCCGGTCATCAGGACTGAAGTAGCCACCCGTGACTAACTTCCCCAGACCATGACGTCACGATATCAAACCCTTACAAGGTAGAAGTAAACTCAAGGTTAGACATTTGAAATCTCAAGCCGGACGTGACACCGGGCACATGGATGAAACAAGAAATAAGCATAACAAAGAAAGATATCTCCGCGTATCGCCGGCACTTTTGTCATGAGCACAGACGACTGTACAGCCTGGAAAGAGCCAATCTGACAGTGCGGCTCTTGCAGCATGTATATACAATTACAGCCCACCCGTACTCGTATACTCTGTTCAGACAACAATTCATCTGCCTACGAACGTGGCTTGGAGTGATTGGCATGCATGGCACAGCAGTAGACACGGTTGATACCAGGCAGCATTATCTGTTTCTACAATGATTATGTCTTGGCAATGTCATGAGATCATACACGGCCGTTTCTTGTCAGTCCGGCAGAATTCATATGGAACTGAGAATGGGGTTTGTATTTGTATCAAGAACCAGAGCCAATCCGGTGGAGCTGTCAGTTAAGCGAAGCCACAGGGCGGTGCACATTATGACAATGACTAAGGCCAAAAATAAGCCTGTGCATAAAGTGCATAAAAGGTAGATCAAGGGTGCTTGGCGTTGATCCAGCCAAGCATAGATAATCTGCAAAACGCGTTGGCTGTGAGTAATCTGCTGTCTGCCTTGCTGGCTTGCCCTTACAAGGAGAAGTACCGTGGTAGACAGGAGTGCTGTTTGAGTGAAGAATGTCTATGACTACTTCGTAGTACAAACACAAGAGTACATTGGGTGCATACTTCCGATCCGGCCGGAGGTAGCAAATCTCCGCGGCATCGGGATCGGGGGTTTCATTCATGCCCAAAGGGGAAACTCTCCAGGCAGCTGGCAATGGCTTGGCGCTGACCGTGGGACAGATTCTGCATTTATAATGGATAATTTCCAAGAAACTACGGATACAGAGTATAAGGACTCCGTATGTTGATTTCTAATGCCATAATGGATCACGTCTTTATACCAATCTTCACAATTCTACAGAGTACCAGAATAATGTAGACTCTAGATTACCAATAGTACTGATAGCGGTGAGCCGAACATCCGGCGGATCAGCTGCAGGGCTGGCTTGGCGTATAGTATTGTTGTATTGGTAATACACATAGCGAGGCGGTGAACGGACCAATCGCACTCCGAGAGCGCGAAAGATGCTCGGGCAACCGGGCAGCCCGTTGGTCCGTTGACCGTATACGGTAATATTACCGGGTGGATGCGGTCGGGATCCGATCGCCGATATGCCTGCAAGAGGAAACGAAGAAAAAAAGAAAATAAAAAAAACTTTCAGCCTAGTAATCTTGTAATAATCTTGGGAGGAATCTTATGGATCAGATTTGGGATATTAAAACAAGCGGTCGCCCTTTTTTTTTTCTTTCTACATTTAACATACAAGTACAAGTACTCTGCATACATACCTTGCCAACATCATCCTTGCTGCATCCAGCTATCACGTCTATCGCAACCAACTGACTCACCGCCCTACCTTACCGCCTGTGATTGGCCGCTGCAGCCTGAGTCACCAACACGCATTTGCCTGGCTGGGTCGATCCCACTTGAGCTCATAACCTCATAAGCACCTCAACGCCCGCCATGTCCTCGCTCTCTTCCTCTTCCTCTTCGTCTCTCGACTCTCTCGACTCATTCGACGCTTCCTCCTATTTCTCTTCTCTTGCTCGAAGGCGTCAACAGAAGAAAATGAGCATCACTCAGACATACTACCTCGCTCACACCGCCCGTAGGAAGCTCACTCGTGAGGCTTCCCGGGCGGACCACGACCTGCGACTCCTCGTTGGCCACGCCAATCTCCTCGATTCGTTGATGTTGGATCTCGCCGATGCCGAACAAGAACAGGAACGCTGGTTTAATCAGACTGTCAACGGCGTGTCCAAGTCGTCGCCATCGCTGTCGTCACCGCTCGCCGATACAAAACACGTTCAATGGGCAGACGCTATCGTGGAGGATCCGGAAGATGATTGGGATCCTGAGGATCTGTCGGATGCGGACTCGGATCTCAGTGATGACTCCGATTTTGATGAGGATGACTTCGCGGAGGAACACTTTGCGGTTACAACGCCTATCCGGCGACCGACTCAATCACCCGTGCCTTTCGTGACTGAACGCGAAGTCCCTGGTGACTATGACGATGGATACTCCGACTCTGAATCTGAATTCGAATACGATGATGCGGAGGATCTGGAACATCTCACATTGACACGGTCGCCATCGCGGCAATCACCACCGCCTGACCTATCCTCAGACTCCGACGAGGAGTCTGAGGATGATACTATGCCTCCCTCTCCTCCTCAACAAACACTCGACACATTCGCGGATGACGAAAAGCATCCGCAGTCGACTACCATTCCTCTCGACGCAGACCAAGGTCTGTTCGATCAGAGATACTACGCTGCGTCCCAGTCGCAGGGTGCGATTATTGAAGCTTACTGAGCTTCCCATTCACCATCTATATACACGTTTTGCATTTGGTTTTGATGATTTATAATTTGCATGGTTGTACATTTGATCGTGATACCCTAGTTTTTAGCGCTTTGCATATGGTCTGGACTCGGATATACAGTTATATTGACTATTGCCTCAATAAAATTGACTCATCTGAATACTTCTCTCTTCTCGTAACTCGGGTGTAGCGGATCGCCTTATTCTCGGCACACCCTCGGTGCTGTAGTCCGTAACCTTAACCAAACCCATCAAAAGCCTATTCCCGCTCGTCTTTGTATCTCCCGTCTACCGAATCTGCCGAATCACCTTGTTGATCGCCATCCACATGCCGCCGACAAAGCCCGTGCTCCCGTGCTCTTCTCCATAACCCGCTGCACTCCGGACCCAGGAAATGGTATATCTGGATGATCGGTTCCTGTTGGATAACGTGCGCGCGGTTTTCTGGGACCATAGACGGTATCTCAGATTCGGGTATCGGGGATTGTAGGGATGGAGGCGTTGATTGAGGGGCCGGTTGGTTCCGCGGATGAGAGATGGGGTCTACGCCTTGAACAAGGGTCCTGGATATACGGCGGGTGCTGCAGTGGTCTGTGGTCATAGCCGTTAGCCGCGGGAGAGGGCAGGCATACGATAATCCGTCGAAACCCTTCCGGATCCCTTCCCTAGGCAATATGGGTATTCCCCTACCTTGATATTCCTCGTTTCTCTTCAACTACATCACCAAGCTGAGAATCCCTCCCGCAACTCCACGAAATCGTCGTCAGAGGGATAGTTTAGATCGATCTCCATTATGTTTGTTGGAGTGCGGGTTATCAGCCGGTTTGAGGAGTGGAGGGTTTTGCGAAACAGGACTGTTCAGTCAAGCAAGTCTTTTCGTTCGTTGATACTTTGGAGTTACTTTTGGTTGACGTAGGGGTAGTTATGTTGGTTGTGTTACATCATGTTGACGAGATTTTATATTTTGGTTATCGTTATCGATCTATCGATCTTGTTTTGACTATGTACTGAGTACACTACTGTTATTGAATATCGTTAAGAACTCATACCCACTCTGAATATACAGGCACAAGTAGGGTTACATCCCAAAGCAAACAAAACGAAACACACCAAAACAAATCCCATTATCCCATTCTATTTACCACCAAAACCCCGTATTCTTTGTCCACCCCGCACTGCGCTGTCCCTACAAGTATGTATCCTCCCACTCCTCTGTACAAACAACGAAACCCCCACATGTGATGACCCGCGAAGATCTCTGTAGCCCAAAGCACACCGCCCATAAAATGGCCCCTGTACGTGTCAAGTGCACAATCTTTATTCCCGGAAGACACGACACGCAGACAGCCACCGCATGTCAAGTCTAGACCAACGCACATCCGTTTTGGACACCGAAAAATCGTGCATATTTTAACCTTGTGAACCCGACTTGTTTCGCCCTGCCAGTGCTTAAGACGATTAATGGGCAGAGATCTGAGCATGTGGGGGCTTGTTGATTGATGTGATTTGATATGATATGATAACGATAAGCTTAGGTTGGCGGTGAGGGGGTACTTATAATTTACTTGTACGGGTACGGAGTATGTACTTGTACTGTAATACGGGTAAGATCAACTTCTCCACTGATGAAGAATTTGCACATTAGCGTTGAGGCGGAGTAGGCTATGTGCAAGTACAATGCCGATGTACCGGTTTTCTGTATGGCGTGCAGATTTTTTTTTTTTTTTTTTTTGATTATGGCTGAGTAGGCTGGTTGGGCTTGGGCGGGCTTGAATGACTCAATTGTTAATGTCCGGATTCCGGAGTTAAGTGTGCGAGTATGAGTAGAGGGCCAATGGCTGAGAGCAATGGCTGAAGAGAGAAAAATGAGTCAGGAAGAATCATTAAAGTTATGGACCTATTGACAGGTCCACTTCTGCCCTACAGTCTTGGGCATGCTTAGCATAATACTCGATGTTCAGTGCTGTGCTTGGTACTATGCACAAGTAGACACAATTTGAGGTTGAATACAGACAACCACTGATATGCTGATACTGTCCATCACGATACTCTGTACATCTCAATATCCCGTGCACTTTCTAGCCGTGCGTGACTTCCTCGGTTCTCGGGCCCTTGAATGGGATAAACTCGGAACGGAAGACTTTGGTCCTATGTCCGGAGATGACATTAATAATTGAGCCGTTCATGCCGAAGAGTCCGATCCATGGATCACAGCCGTCAGGCCATGGTGCAGACCAGATCGAGTACTGTATCCGTCCTGCGTAGGTTTGGGCCGTCACAACAACATACCATAACGGTGTTAGCCCTAGCAGTCTATTCGGGAATAAAAGTGCATAACATTATGCACAGACATAGCTTAACCATTCTTTATGCTGACGGAAAAACAATCCCGCGGCGGTCTGTACACCTACCCAATCAGGAAAGCATGACTCTCGTCACCGCCTTAGTAGCTGCCCCTCCTCCACCGATCATCCCCATCCCCCTCTTGCATCATATCTCTTCCACCGTCTGTCTGTCTCCTCATTTCGATTCATCCATCTCTATCTGTCTTATTCCCTGCTCTGTCAGCTACTCACTGTATTGACATCCGTCGACGAAGACGTCTGGCGCAAACAATGAGATCTGCGTCTTGCGGATCGCATCATCCCTGGGTCTCGAGCGTTTACAGCGGCGTAGCTGATTAGGTTGCGATCATCAATCATCTGACATCTGACATCTTCGATACAATCACATTCATCTGAACAAACCAGTCACAGCAGACTGAACCGATAAACTACGCTCCACTCCACCATGTCGAGGGTCTCGTCACCAAGGGGATCATTCGAATCCGACAATGAGGCGTCCCGACCCAACAAACGCATCTCGTACGCCGACGAAACACCGCGCAGAAAGTCAATCCAGTTCAGTTTTGGAGGAGGATTTGAGAATCGCCAGCATCGTCGGTCGTCGAGTGATAAGGGGCCGGGCGAGAAGAGTTTGAAGCGATCGCATATTGAGTTCCAGGATAGGGAGAGAGAGAAGGAGAGGGAGAGGGAGCAGAAGCAGAATGTTATTCCGCCTAGTGCTAGTCGTGGGCCTTCGCCTCCGCCGCCGAAGTAAGTCGTTGCCTGCTGTATTGAGGATGATTGGGGCTGACGGTGGTAGTACATATGAACGAGGTGTTTCGTTTGACACGTTCGATAACCCCGATGCGGCGGATTTCTCGTTGACGTTGAATTACAAGCACAAAGGTTATCAGTGCACTCGACGGAGTAGGACCTTTCTCTGCGGGACGGATCAGAACGAATACTCCGACTTTGCACTCGAGTGGCTTATTGATGAGCTTGTGGACGATGGGGATGAGATTGTTTGTCTTCGAGCCGTGGAGAACGCAAGTGATGCGGGCATCGAGCCTGGCAGGTACCGAAAGGAAGCGGAGAAATTGTTCGAACAAGTGATTCAGAAAAACAGTCAGGATGAAAAAGCCATCAGTCTGGTCTTGGAATTGGCTGTCGGGAAAGTGCAGGATATCATCCAACGCATGGTGAGTCTTCCTCATTCCCACCCCCCCTATTTCCCAATATGCTGACGGTCGATAGATTCGAATCTATGAACCTGCCGTCCTTATCGTTGGTACACGTGGTCGAAACCTCAGTGGCATGCAGAGTCTGCTGCCTGGCTCGGTATCCAAGTACTGTTTACAGCAATCCCCGATCCCTGTCATCGTAGTCCGTCCGTCAACCAAGCGCGAGAAGAAGAAAAAGAAGCGATTGGCCGATCCTTCCCGTCGCAGCTATAACCATATCCTGGAATTGAGCGAGCGTCGAGGCAGCCATATTTTCGATCCCAGCTCGAGCACCGATAGTAGCGTGGCTAGGCTTCCGGACGAGGAGGCAGCAGTTGCTAAGGCTCTTGGGTTGCCGGCATCTTATGCGAATTCGCGGGGTTCACTTTCCTCTGGCAGGAGCAGCGTGGATGACCTGATCTCTCCTATGCTTGAGATGACTATGAAGAGCTCTAGCGGTGAGAGCTTGGAGTGCTCGGGGCATGACAAGTTTGAAGACGCGCGGCAGTCACAAAAATCGGAAGATGACGAGACCGCACCAGTTGATGGTGATTCGATTTCTGCCTTCACCGAACGAGGTGGTGCCCTGTCCCCTACGACTACGGATGTTGATTCTGGATCGGTGTCAGAGACGGCCCACAAGCCAAGCAATATCCCGGTGATTATAACTGATGGCACTTCTAAGGATGGTTCTGAAACGAAGTGATGAATGAGGCGGTGCTTTCTGTTGCCCAGAACATGATAGGCGTTTTCTTTCTCAATGGCGTTTTCGAAGTCGTTCGGTTTCTCCCTTTGTAAAGGCGTATATGCTGCTGAAGACGCTGTGCAGCCGGCATGGTGTTGGAAGGTGTGTAGCATGGCATATTATTTTTGTGTTAAAGTTAGTGGCCACGGCCTATGAGCATATGAGCATATTCCGATACTCCAATGATTCTGAGGAGAATGAAATAGGACTGCACTGACGTACTGCGTATAACGTGTTTCCTATCAGCTAACAGTAAACGCGTCAGGCCATTGTTCCTGATTTCCCCCACGAGAAGAACCAATTGAAACACTGAAGATGTTGATAATTCCCGATGTCTAAAGTTATCTCTGACGGATCATTGCCTCCTACAGATAATCCCCCCGAGGGACCACCTTTATCTGATCGGAACGTCCCGGTTTAACGCTTTGCCCGGCAATTAAGTCCGAGGGCTCCTTGCCAAATCGGGATCCGCTCCGCCCCGCCGCGTCCAAAACTGATATAAGCGGGATGGCGTCTTGGCAGGAGATGCTTTGCTTGTCTAACGGGCACGTCGTTTCAAACATTTCCATATGGAAGAATATTTACCAGTGATTAGTTAATTAAGATGCCCGGCACCTCGGAGATACCGTCAGGGCTGTACTACGAGTACATAAACCCGAGCCACTCCTTTCTTTTTTTTTTCTCGTGCAGAAGTCAATCATTGAGAAGGAAAGAGATCAACAATGCGTCCTCTCCAATCAATGGCCCTGCTGGGCCTCGCGGCCCTTCCCCAGGTAGCTCTGGGATCATGCCCGTATGCCCAGCAGATGGCCCGGGATACCAGCAACCTCCCGTCAGGCCATCCGCATGTGCATTCGGCACGCAGCAGCGACAGCGATGCCATTACAGCACCGACAGACAAGAAGGGTGTGTTCTTGATGAACCGGATTGCCCCTGGTTCATCGCAGCTTTACATCGCCAATGCAGACGGCAGCAACGAGCGTCCTCTCCTTTCGAACCCCGCCTTCGAGTACCACGCTGAATTCTCACCAGACGGCCAATGGATTAGTTTCACCAGCGAGCGCAATGGCGATGGTAACTCGGATATCTACCGCGTGCGCACCAACGGTTCGGACTTCCAGGAACTCGTCTCCACCTCGTCGATCGAAGACAGCGTGGTTCTGTCACCGAGCGGCAAGCTCGCCGCGTACGTGTCCACCGCGAACGGCTACAAAGCGAACATCTGGGTCTTGGACATCCAGTCTGGAAAGAAATGGAATGTCACCAACACGCCTTTGACCCCTGCCGCGAATGAGTCCCTGCCCAACGGATATTTCCGTCCCTCATGGTCGCCGGATGGACAGTGGCTTGCGTTCTCGTCAGATCGGAACTCGGGATGGTATGGACATGGTGATCCTGTATTCTTCGGTGTTTCGGGGTGGGAGCATACGCAGGAATTATCTGTTTATGCGGTGCGGCCTAATGGGTCTGATTTCAGACAGATTGTCTCGAAGAGCGGGTACTCGTTGGGCTCTCCGAAGTGGTCTCATGATGGATCGCGGATTATTTACTATGAGATGACCCGTGAGACGACTTGGGATGCACACCGGCCGGAATCCGTGGGCTCTGCGAACTCGACGATCGTGTCTGTTGATTTTGCGACGGGCAAGGATCGCAGGGTTGAGGTCTCGGGGACTGGTGTGAAGATTTTCCCGCAGTTTCTTGATGCTAATAATACTGTTGGGTACCTCTACAAGGGTGGTACGAAGGAGGGCCTCTACAGCACTAACGGTCGGTACATCAACACAACGGACATCACCCTCCGCTCCCCCGCCTGGTCCCCCAACGGAAAGAAGATGGTCTACGAAAAGACAGGCTGGAACATCCGCCCAATGGAAAAGAAGCTATACTCCTGGGACAATGACTGGGAGTACCGCTTCACAGACGTCTTCCCGCAACTCTCCAACCAGAACGTCCTCGCCTACACAGAAAAACAACTAGGCAATTCCTCCGTCGTCTCCAGAAACCCAGACAACACCACCGCTCGCCTTATCCTCGACGACATGAACACCGACTTCATCAGCACCTCTGAAGTCTCGCAAGGTCTCGCAGGCGCCTTCCAACCCTCCTGGTCACCAGATGGCCAATGGATCACCGTGGGAGTGGGCTTCTGGTTCCAAACCCGTGCTGAAAGCGGCGGCTGGCTCGTCCGCGCCCCGACAAACGGCTCCTCAAACTACGAAGTCCTCACCCAATCCACCAGCGACCTAACTAGCAACACCTCCGCCATAAACTCCGGCTTCCCATCTTTCTCGCACGACGGCAAGAAAATCGTCTACCGCGTCTGGGGCGCGAACTCCACTGCCGGCGACCGCAACCAACTCGGTCTGCGCCTGCTTGATGTTGACACGAAGGAAATCACCACCCTAACAACCGAATGGGACAACCTCCCCTTCTTCTCCCCCGACGGCACGCGCATCGTCTTCACCCGCAAAACCAGTCCTTCAAACTACGACGTCTGCACGATGAACCCCGACGGAACCGACATCAAGGTGTTGACGAGCAGCGGCGCGAACGACGCACACGCTGTGTGGTCGCATGATGGAAAGATCATCTATTCGACGGGCATGTTCGGGTTCCAGTATGAGTGCGCGCTGTATGATCAAACGTTTCAGCCGTATGGGCAGGTTGCGATTATGGATGCGGATGGGGGGAATAAGAGGGTGTTGACGGATTCGATTTGGGAGGATAGTATGCCGTTGTTTGTGCCCAACGCTGATTTTTAGGGCTTGTTAGGGACTTATATATAGGAGTGAATGTTGTATTATATGTTTGGGTGTATGTATTAGATTGTATTGCTTTTGGTGTTAATGATAAAAGTTCACTTCATTACTCATAATAAATGCGTCTGATATTGTGTAGTTCGTTATAGCACTTCCGTGGAAGTTTATGCACTACAACCACCCAATTCCGTTTGGTTTGGCCTCATCCCTAAACCCCCTAGAATTTATCCTGGAATACCGCTTCTACAAGACATATAGTAACCGTCCCAAAGAGACTCTGCCATGATCCTGGCGAACTTCAGCGGGTCTATCGGTTATAAAGCTTCATGATAACGATAGGAAACAAAGAGAAGCCTGTCTGGTAGCACGCAACCAACAATGTATAAGTTTGGTTAGGCATTCGACTATCCGTCGTCGAGCAGCCCTAAAACCACCACAGTTGTTTGGTTCAAGATAGTGATCTGTAGTCCACCCTCCAGAAAAACAAGCAAGAGCTTGTACATCGCAGCCCATCCTATAACTAAAAGGCTGGAAGAAGCCTGCGATAATTTTCATAGGACCACCAGGAATTGGGTTCTGGTCCCATAATATAGATCATAGATTGCTCCGGCCTCGTTTGACTAGCTCCAGAATCACCGCACTTTCCAAACCTGCACTTAATATCGTTGCTTCCAGAGAGTCTGTGGTAGATGGTGTACTCTTTCATTCTTCATTTGCTGACGCGGAAAAGGTTATCCCCCTTGTCGGGAAAAACCATGTCATACCATGATTCATGTTCCGCGTCAAAGCAGAACGCCTCCAAGCATAAGAACACACTGTACCCCGGCATTGAAGATGGCGCGCCGATATGAACTCCTAGAGGTACCATGACCCTCTGGTCGTTACCATCCCAATTACATGTCGTGAGCAAGGAAGAGGTACCATGATGTTATCGATTTTCTTCTGTGAGGATTTTGACGCGTGGTTCTGGACTCAGATGTACTGGTATTCTTTGCAATGGACCACGTTAGTCGACCAACAAACCCACGACCTGTCTATTAGGTTCTTGTCAAATGCAATGTCGCTTTTTCCAAAGCGGTCTGGTAACGCGCTTGATCCTGGATCAAGTTGTCCATTAAGATCCCGGCGAATTCAATCTCAATTGTCATCGTCTCGTTTGACAAGTCAAAAATCTTCTGAGATGTCTTTAGCATTGACATAAACCGCTATTCCAGTCAGTCTCCAGTATGCTTAACCATATTGGTACTTCAATTGCCAATACCCAGCCGAGAATACCAGGTTTTGAGTGCCAATTGAGATAACAAGGAGGCACTGGCGTCGGGGCTCAATGAGACAGTGATTGATTGCTTCTTCCTCATATATGCCCAGTAAATGACTGTGATAGCGATGAGAGGAGTCAACAACGTATTGAGACCGGCTACATACCGGGCCTTCATCTTGCGTTGACATCTCATTCTGCACATAGAAAAAAAAAAGTCCAGATACTGAAAGGGCACTGGCGCAATTTCTCATTCGGGCGTACTTTCCTTGTCAAATGGGACGGTGGCAGGTGCAAGAAGGCTGACAGAAACCTGGCTCGAGAATGGAGTGTCTGGGTTCGAGACTCATTGCGGCAGAGACACCAATCGAAAGACATAAATGACAGGCCCTAATCCTAGGATGTAGGAGACATTACTGTTATTCCCCTGTAAATAGGCCATGTCGGTTATCGATGGTCTTGTTAATCTTCTCCTGCATTGTTGTCCATACTATAATCCTACTATCGCCATAAGAACCGGTGTCGGTCATCCATTAAATGCTGTGAACGCAAGGAGTCTCCTTCCGAAAACTTGTCCCATTGGTCACTAAACGCTAGACATAAAATCTAACAATAAGAAGCTTTACTTCTTGCAGAACTTCTCATACCATTTGCTTGCTTTCTTAAACCGCTGGACGACATTGGCCTCGCTCCAGTATGTATCTGCGCGTTCATGGCCAAAAAAATGCCACATCCAGCCATTCATCAACCTCCGGATCGACAACGCAAATTCTTGCTGATGTAAAATCTTAAATCCGGCATTATGACAACCTATGCAAGTGGAATGGTCATGCATAGTATCTTCATAGGGACCTCTGCGTTGGGTGTCTGGATGTACGCACCGTGCCCTGTGATTAAGCAAAGCTTGTGGACAAAGATATGCCTACAGCGCCAAGCTGTGTCTTGAGCACTCATGACATGACTTGGTGATTCTAGTCTTTCAATATATGGTTCCATTCCACCATCCTCTTCCATGTGACATTGGAGATCCGTAATGGAGAATAGGGTGGTGTAACTCACTATCCCGGACAGTGTTTGAACATGTCCATCCATTCTTCTGCCGTCACCTGCTGAGGCGGAGGGGCGACCTGGAACCTGTGTTCCAGACAGGTGAGCTAGCACCGGTATTGTTCAGTATCTGATATTGGGTATACATCCCGGTAGGCGCCCCAAGCAAGCACAATAGGCCAGTGTGGACCCATCAGACCACCACACAACTGACAGCGAGAGTATGCGTCCGCTGGCTTGTCACTTGCATCAGCACAAAATATTGTACCTCTAGCTGGGCTACATTTATTAGAATTTCAAACTGGAAACGGGCTTCACAAGTATGAACCCTGGTCTGCCCTCAAGCTCTTTCCAAAGACACCCGTCCCTCCTTCACTCCCAAGTCTAATCCAGCTGCACGGAGCCGATCGTCCATTTCGTGCGTTTTATGATAAGCAGAACTGAAAGCCCACACCGATTTTGACTGTGTTCTCTGTTATATGTGCCAGTCCACCCAGTCAGTCCGCGAATGATAGTCGCGTTGCCAAACATACAACTGCGTGGGTGACGGTCATGATTAATCCAGTCCATTCCGGCAAATGCAAGCGCAAGGCCAACCAGACGCTACTCACTGCGCGGCCAGATTCCATGGCACCGTATGTCGTTCTGAATTGCATTATATTGTAGGCAACTCGTAGCCCCCTGATTCACCCACCACCTCTTGGGCTAACATGTTCTTTGACATGGGTTTCTTTTACCAGAAACCGCACCATTGTGGTGCAATTGCTGGTAGAGGTGCGTTGCAAAAGAAATGTGGATTTCACGTCCTCCAGCATGCATTTAGAGAATCGGCTTGCATCCTTACCACGAACGAGTCATATAGGTGTCCCCAACAACGGCAATGTACTCGCGGTCATGAACGCGAAGTAAAGCAAGACTTCGACTTTGAGTTCGCCCCGGGATTGTAATGGAAGTATGATTGCCAGGATCCACTGCACCTATTAATATTAGTTGCCCTCGCGTATGGCGAGTACTGCAGGCATCGAGTCAGCGAAATCCACGTCCTCCCGGATTATGCTTTGCCGGCCCCTTGGGATAAGACAGAGACCAGCTCAACTAGTTCTTCTTTCCCAGCGGGGCGTTGGCCAACAGCTTGCTTCTAACTATGCCCGCCTGGGTTGGCTGTGAGTGCATTCGTTTCAGGTATTCTTTGGCCGCTAACACATGCTTCATCAATCTCTTACGTTTGTCGGACATATCTCTGTCCGCAAGATGCACAAATGCGTATGTGACGGTAGTAACTGACTCAAGACCCTCCGACAGCCTCAGTCGCAGGCCAATTGCCGCCTGCTAGTTGGTGTCTGATGGATTGGTATTAACCGCGTGGCCGGAATCGACGACATCTGCCATCGTTTCGAGTTGTCTTGTACGGTAGCCAGCCCGCAACTCCCCGATCTCATCGGGCATGCCCTTCTTCCAAAAAGCATTCATGGCCTTTCTGTCGGCAAACAAAACTGCAATCCAACCGGAAAAAAGCACTTGTGCCCCGACGGATCCAGGGAAGGTGTTCCAGGTGAGTCTCAGTTTCTTTAAGCGGGAGCAAGGATCTGGGATTAATGGCCTGAATCGTGGTATATCGAACACCGACACCCCGAATCTCTGATCTCCTGGGGCAACCAGAAACCGCCTTTGAAGGAAGGCGAATCTTCACTATGTGATCGTCAATGTGAACGCGCTCGCTACTGACAAGGGAACCTTCGAAGTTCCGAACGACAATGCTTCGTCTATTTCGTCAATCGGCTTTTCGAGGCGAGGCACAATATACCCCCCGACAATTGCTGGACATCATCAGTGTCCCTGAGAGGCCTCCAAAAGGGCTGTGTTCAGGGTGCGTGTTTTCACTTCCCAGGTATAAATACTGAGGCCTGTGTATAATGGACTCACTCCTGCGTCTCCTTTGTCATACATATCCCGCCCCTCATACATGAACCATATGCCAGTATTCACATTGTAGTGGTTTATGAAAACCGGTCTTCCGCGAAGAGCTTTGTCATATGGGGCCTATACGTTAATATGGGACGATTATAATAGCGGAGAGCGCTCGATGGGAGAGTTTAGTACTCTGAAGCGTAATGGACCAGTTATGCTCGCCAGAAATGACTTGACTGTTTGAGGATCATAGTAAAGTTCCATGATTGGTGTGCTGGAGAGTATTTTTCTATGATAGCGAGATGGGGAGGGGGTAATGAAGATGGAAAGAGCAAGAGAGCAAAAGTGAGATAACTAATGACTATGATTTTTTAGATATGTAGAAGCCGAATTTGACCGGCACTGTACCATAGAGTTAAAGACAGAAAAAAAGTGAATGAACGATTGAGCCATTATCTATAAAATACAGCCCTCTATTCACTAACGTTTATGACAGCAAGTTCAACCCTAAGCAAAGCCCATCATCATAACTCACTACGGAGCAAATAAGAAAGATCTAAACCAAAGTCATATTTATTCGACACAGGTAGATAAAAGTAAATAAAAAGTAAGTGGTAACTTTTCTAACACGATTCAGTTTTTGTCTAATATGAGCAAGAGAAAAAAAAAGAGGACATAGAAAACCATTACAAGGGCGTTTGTTCACCACCAAGGTTCATGCAAATGCAGACAGACACAGACAAAACATAGCTATTGAAAAAGAAAAAAAGAAAAAGATTTCTCGCATAACATCAGCAAGGTCGTGGCTGGCCGGGAGTTTCATCTCTTCGTTTTCTCTAGTTCCGAACAGAAAGGAGGAAAGGGGAAGAAAAAGAAGCCTCTGGCTTGCCGGGTATTGGAAATGCAGTAGGGAGAAAGAAAAAAAGGTAAAAAGAAAAAGGGAACATCAACAGATGAAGAGAAAATATCTCCTGCCAAACCAAATCGAACAAACGAACAAATGGTCCATTTCGAATTTCGAAACCCCCATGTTACGTCGAACGGATGATTGTACATACGTCGATTGGATAAAACAGAGATAAATGGTAAAAGAAAAAAGAAGGGGAAGATGTCATAATTCAAGAAAGAACGACTTTTTTTCATCAACATTCCAAGTCAAAAGAGATCTATGATGCTCCGCCATCCTTGGACGGGGGGTTTGCCGGTTGGCCAGCTGCGGGTTGAGCCTTGGTGAGCATAGGTGACGTAGGGTTCGACGGAGGAGAGGTGGCCAAGTTGTCACGGTCTTCCAAGCTGGCGAGAGCACTGTCTTTTGTTAGATACTGTTGCCATATACGAGAGTGTTGAGAACCTACCTGAAAGCGTTCATCGAAGAAGCAGCCTCCTTGTCCTCCTTCTTGCCGGCCGGAGGAGTGCCGGTACGGCTGCTGGCCGCACTATCCTCACTGCCACGGACCAGGTTGCCACCGGGGCCTAGGTTCCGACGGCTGTTGCTGCGCGAGCCCAGCATGCTGGAGGGTCCAAACGACATGGGCTGGTTGGCGGTCCGGCCCGTGCGCAGACGACGGAGATCGTCGCTACCGACCTTGCTAGAAGCATAGTCCGGAGGAGGAGCCTGCTGACCGTATGAGAAGTTGCGGGCATCTCCGCGGCCAATCTGGGGACGACCGCCACCACCGCGAGAAGCCTGCTGGCGCATGCGCTCCATCTCGGCTGCTTGATGAGCGCGGGCGGCTTCTTCGCGAATCTGTTGGATGGTCTTGGGACCCTTGTCGGAATCCTTGGACATCCAGTTGGACTTGCGCAGATCGATAACATCCTGTTCGAGTCAGAAAAGCATATTGCATGTTGTAGGCCACAGTAACTTACCATAAGCATGAACCGGATACGACTGGGCAGACCCTCGGTCTCCATCATCATCTGAATGCGACTGAAGTAGACATCCATCAAGGCGTGTCCTCTCTCGGAAACATCCAAGCTAGCACCAATGGTACGCAGGAGATTGGTCAAACTCTCGACCTCAGCCTCGTCAGGCATACCTTCGTAGTCGACCAGCTTCTTAACACACTCGTGCATAATACGCTCCGTCAACATGCCCAGCTTGTACAGCTCACCAATGAACTTGACGAGACCAAGACCACGACGCTTGGCAGCGGCGGCAGTGTAGTACTCGTCGGACAGCATGGCGATTTCTTCGGTCTGGCCCTCGGGCTTCGGTGGCAGGTTGACCTTCCAGCCACGCTCGAATTCCTCCTGGCAACGGTTGAGCAGGTACTTGCGGAAGAGACTGCCGCCGGTGACGACGGCGCCGGTCTTGTCGCGGATGCTCTCATCCTGGATCTCGGGGCTCATGGTCTCAAGCATACGCTTGCAGAACTTGGCGTAGATGGACGCCCAGTGGGCTTCGTCGGTAGCCTTCTCGAAGGTGAGCTGGATGACTTGCCGCAGGGTACGGCCGTCGTTCTCTATCTTGGATTGCGACACAATCTCCAGAATCTGACCGGCGATACGCTCAAAGTTCTCGGGGGTCATCTTGTTCAGAGCAGCCTTGACCTTACGCTGCACCATGTCCGGAGGCATGTGGGCAGGGGTAGCCTGAGCGCTGGCAGGCTGTACAAGACTGCGAGGCTTCCAGCCGCTGCCGGAGGCCTGCAGGGGCTTGACGTCAATGCTGGCGGTGAGCGGCATGCTCTTGGCCATGTCTTCTTCCTTCTTGGCCTGGTGCTTATCAGCACGCTTGCTGTTGTTGCGGGTGTTGTTGCGGTTGGAGCCCACACGAGGTGAGCCAGGCATGCCGGAGGAGCCGGTGCGTCCACCAATGGGACCCATGCCCATGCCAGTGGGACGACCAAACTGGCCGAATGGGTTGTTCATCGAAGCGGTGCGGGCAGCGTTGGCAATGGCAATGCGGTCGGTGTTCGGAGGCAAGCTGTGGCGGTTCGGGGCGCCGAATGTTCCCATCTGGAACGGCTGAGGCATACCTCCCGTGCGAGAAGGAGTGCGGCTGGTCATAGGCGTGCGTGCGGACTGGGGACGCGACGAGTCAGTATCGCCCACAGTCTCGCGCACGCGAGCATCCCAGTCGACGGACGGCTTCTCCTTGAAGACGGCCTGGAACTGCAGCAAGAATTCCTTGTTGTAGTGGAACTTGCGTTCCGTGGGCGCGCTGGCGTTCAGAGCCGGGTTGGGAGAGGCGACCGACGAAGGGTAGGAGATCTTGCTCAGATCAGCCACGAAGCGGGCAGTCTGCAGAGCCTTCATAGCCGCGCTGGGTTGAGGAGGCTCGACAGCCTTGCTGGTCTCGAGCTTGAGCGCAGCGGGCTTCTTGGCGGCACTGGCCGGCTTGCCAGGCGGGCCCATGGACACGTCGGAGACAGGAGTCGAGGCACCACTCTCGGCGGGAGTGCTGGACTCGGTCGCGGCCTTCTTAAGCGAAGAAAGGCCATCCTTGCCCTCAGCGGCCTCGCGCTTCTTCTCACGCTCCTCTTCGATAGCCTCGGCCTCACGTTCGGCGTTCTTCATGTTGGCCTCGTACGCTTCGAGTTCCTCCTTCTCCTTGCGCTCCTTCTCTTCCTTTTCGCGCTGCTTCTTGGCGTAGTAGTCGGCTTCCGCAGCAGCCTCCTTCGCCTCGACCTCTGCCAACTCCCGCTCGATGGCATCGAAGTCAATGTCATCGTCGTCAGCGGGCGGTGCAGGGGCCTGCTTGGGCTCTTCAGCCGGTTTGGCTGCTGCTGCTGCTGCTTCGTCCTTCTTCTCGTCCTTGTTGTCCTTCAGGCTCATGTCTTCCATGGCCTTGCGAGCCGCTTCCTCGTCGTCGGCGGCCTTCTTCTTCGCCGCTTCCTCGTCTTCAGCCTTCTTCTTCTTCGCCGCTTCCTCGTCTTCAGCCTTCTTCTTCTGGGCGGCTTCCTCGTCATCCTTCTTCTTGTGCTCTTCGTCCTCCTTGCGACGCTGCTCGGCCTCATCCTGCTCGAGCTTCTGACGGACGGCGTCTCTCAGCTCCTTCTTCTTCTCTTCGTCCGTCTTGGTCGCCTTGCTATCCGATCGCTGGTGCTCGGGGCCGTTGTTGGAACGAGGAGGAGGGGGGGTGGAAGTGGGGGTGGCCATCTTCACGGGCGAAGGTGTAGCACGAGCAGGAGAGCCGGGACCCTTGGTGTCGAAAGTCTTGACGGCACCGCTGCCAGGGTCCTTGATGACGATGGGGCTCCTCTTTGTCGAGGGAAGGACGAACTGAGGCTTGTTGGGGGCGGGGCTGTTGGACGAGCGGCTGGCATTGTGAGCGTGGCCGGCGCCTGGAGGACCGGCCGGCGGCTGAGGCTGGCCGAGGCTCGAGTTGGGACGGTCGTTGTTGGACACCTGCGATGGCGTACGGGACAGAGGAGCCGCCTGGGTGGGGGGTTGCGGCGGGTACTGGTTCTGCATGTACGGAGCCTGGGGGTTAAAAGGCATACCGGGGCGCGGTTGCGGCGACGGAGGAGTCATGTACTGCATCTGACCCATGCCATAGGCGGCAGGGTTGTAGTAGGCGTAGTTGGGATCGTAGGCATGGGGGTAAGCCTGGGGATTTTTCACTCGTGTTAGATACTCTTCAAGTTGTTGAAACTGACCACTTTCCGGGGCCAAATTGTGTATGGGAAAGGGGAGCGTAGGGGGAGCATGGGAGGAAGTAAAAACACGGGGTCCTTGGGATCTTCTCCTGGAAATGGGTCCAGAACGGGGAAAATTGGGAGAAGACGAAGAATAGAAAGCAGGAGGGTGGGGTCTCACAGGTTGGGGAGCCATGTGCTGACCGTAGGCGAACGGCTGAGGAGGCATCTGGGGAGGAGCCATGGGGACCTGGTTCATCTGGGGAGTCGTCGCGGGATGAGCGTTGGCCAGAGCTGGGCTGCGGTTGGCCTGGTGTGGCGAATTGGGGAACGGGGCGAGCGGACGGCCTTGGTTGCCAGGGAACTGTGGGCCCATGTTGGGTCCGCCGCGAGGCTGGTTGGGCGTGCGGAAGTTCGGGCCCGGCGAGTAGGGCATCTGACCCTGATAGCCCGACTGCGAGTATCCGCGGCCGCGGCCACCATAGCCACCACGACCGGGACCAGCAGGAGCGCCACCAATCTGGTTGCTCATATCGCTATGCGTAGACTGGGAGGATTCACGACGGAGATGGGTCGCCTGAGGACCGGGACCAAGGGGGGCTTGCGGGCGCTATTCAGAACAAAAAAAAAAAAAAAAAATGTTAGTAAGTGTAAAATTTCGGTGCGCCAACGTGAAACAAAACATAGGGAATGTTTTTGAATGCCCAAAACAAAGTAATGTTGTTGGTGCCTGGAATTTGAAACATACGTTTGCGTCACCGGCATCACCAAAGCTGCCAAAGTTCGGAACATTTCCCTGCGACTGGTAAGACGATGGAGGAGGACGACCACCGCTAGAAGCCGGCTGGGGGATAGGCGACGGAGAGGTCTGAGGCGAGGTAACGCGGGGGTTCATGGAAGGCGACACACCCAACCCGGACTGCGGCTGGCCGGCCAAAACAGCAGGATTGCCCATGGGGGAAGTCTGCTGGTTGGCAAAACCAAACTGCAAGCTGTTGGGACGACTGGAAGGACCCCCGTTGGGGATATAGCCCGAAGTACCGGCAGAGGTGATGGTCACGGAAGGTTTGCGAGAGTGGTCGCCCTGCTGCTGCTGGGAAGCGGGAGCGCCATTGACGATGGTGACGCCGGGGGAGGAGGTAGAGGGGGTATTTGTTTGTTGTTGCATGGGTTTGCCGCTCACAGAAGATGCTGAGGTCGACTGCCCATGTTGCGAAGAGCCACCCACGGTGACGGGCGCGGCGGTCGAGTCCGTCGCGGACTTTCTGGTGGCGTTGGCGTAGGACGACCGGTTAGCCGGCGCGGGCGACGAAGAGGAAGTGTTCGCGGGGGTGTCAGAGGAAGCGCTCTGTCCTTGAAGGCCTTGCTTCTGAGGAGGGATCGAGGTCATTAGACAGGTTGATTTTATGTGATAAATCGAGGTTTAAAGGGCGTTTGTGTGGGGGGAGGAGAGAGAGGAAAAAGAGAGGAGTAAAAAAAAAAAAAAAAAAAAAAGGCCTCCCAAATCCTGGGTGACAGAG